ACGACTACTATCATTTCTATTCTTGCCGCTACTACTACTACTACTACTACTACTTCTACTACTGTTACTATCACTACTACTACTACTACGACTCGTATCACTACCAGTACTACAACTACGACGACGACTACTATAACTACGAGTACTAATTGTATTACTGTTACTATTGCTGCTACTGCTGCTGCTACTACTACTACTACTTCTGTTACTACGACTACTACCACGACTATTACGACTACTTCCTTTTTACGACTACTACTACAACAACAGGAACACGCATTATTATTACAACTACTACGACTACTAGTACTACTACTACTATTTCTATTACCACCACTAGTAGTAGCAGTAGCAGCAGTAGTAGTAGTAGTAGTAGTAGTAGTAGTAATAGTAGTAGTAGTAGTAGTAGTAGTAGTAGTAGTAGTAGTAGTAGTAGTAGTAGTAGTGGTAGTAGTAGTAGTAGTAGTAGTTGTAGTTGTAGTAGTAATAGTTGTAGTAGTAGTAGTAGTAGTAGTAGTAGTAGTAGTAGTAGTAGTAGTAGTAGTAGTAGTAGTAGTAGTAGTAGTAGTAGTACTAGTAGTAGTACTACTATTGCTACGACTACCACTGCCACTACCACTATCACCATTACTACTTGTACTACTGCCTCTGCTAGTCCGTACACGCTTCGCCCCCTGGGAACCTGCTCCGACTGGCAGGGCAGTCTGTTTGTTGTTTACACCCCCGGAGCCCCGACTATTCTCATTCCCCGAGGATTATCCCCAGGGGTACGGGGTTAGTACTGTTTTGTGGGGTCCAGAAATCTTTTCTTGGAGTCTTCTTTTTGTAGCGCACTTGGGCTCTTCCATACCCGTTTTAGGGATCACTTTGGGAATCGTGGGTCCATCGTGAGGCAAGGCCAATCAGAAAACAGAAGGCGAGAAAACAAGCATCGGATAAATAACAGATCTCGGACGACTTTCATATCTTGGGTGCGTCGTTCGGCGCCTCCGTGTCCACCTCGGGCGACCAGCTGGCGATCTCGCGGCCCCTTTGGAGGCATGCTGGAGGCCATCGTGAGCTGACTTGGGCTATCTTGGAGCCATCTTGGTGTATCTTGGGCGCTCTGACCTAGCGCGGGGGGCCCGTGGAGACCCAGCCGACGGACTTCACCAGTACAGCGTGCCAGCCACTCCTGTCGCCCTTCCCAGCCGCGGGACCAGCATGGGGTTGGTCCCGCGTTGTTTCTGTTCGTCCCCCAGACAGTCCAGTGGCCTCTAAGACGGCCAAGATGGTCCTATATGGCCTCCGACACGGCCAAGATGGCTTCAAAACGGCCAGGATGGCACAAGACAGCCTCCAAGTCGGCCCACTATTGCCACAAGGCGTTCTAAGAGGGGTCCAATGTGGATTCGGTGATGATTTCGCACACTCGCCTTCTCGGTCTTCAGAGCGTCCAAAACGGCCAAGGAAACCTCCAATATTGTCCCAAGACTGTTCAAACGAGCTCCACGAGGGCCCCAGGACTGCTCCAGTTCGGCCCAAGAAGGCTTCACAATAGTTCACGATAACGCCCAGACGGACCAAGATGCCCCCCTCCCCAAAGTCCTCCAGCCTTTGATGAAGCCAGGCACCAAGATGGCTCAAGAATCCCCCGAAGGCTCCGCCCCCGAAGGCCCCGTGAGAGGTTCCTGAAAAAGCAGCGAGGAAGCAAGCAAAACACCTCCAAATGGCCGTGTGTGGTGTGGCCCCCGAGGAGGGGACAAGATGTCTCGAACGGACTTCAAGTCGCACACTATACCAATCCCGAAAGCATTTAAGCACCTCTATCGCCTGACTGCCGGGGGGGACGTGCAGGTGAAGCAGACGGGAATCTCTGAAGCCGCCTACGCCCAGAGGTCTGGCTCCTCGCCCTGTTCCTTCCCTCCTCGATCGCCCCTCCGAGGCGAAGATGCCGGTCCTCCTGGCGTCGGAATTCCACGCGATTATCGGGCTCGGGCCGCCCGAGACGCCCGCCAAGGACGCCTGGGAGGCGGCCGCGAGGTCGGCGCGCAACGTCTCGGCGGTGCTGTCGACCGTGGGCGAGGTCGACAACGCGACGCTGCAGGCGGCCCGCAACAAGGCGAAGATCGCCGTCGCGATGGGGAAGTCACCAGCCTGGAACATATCCTTATCCCTATGATTGGCATTGCCTCATCTCGATGCCGATCTTAGGGATTCCCTCCGTTTCTGAGGGCGCATCCCTAAGCTTGTCGTCGACTTCTGGCTTGTTAATCTTAGGGGTCAGGATACGTTCGTGGCTGGTTAGGAAGCGCTCCACCGTGCTCAAGACCATGGACGAGAACATGTTCTCGGTCTGCATCGGGAAGGACCCAGGGTCCGACGGGGTCCTCGTCTGGAACGACACCAGCGTGGCCCTGTACCCGCAGCTCTTCCACAAGGCGGGGGACGAGGGTGTCGAAAAGGAGGATGGGGAGGAAGAGGGGGAGGGGGAGGGGGAGGAGGAAGAGGAGGAGGAGGA